CCCGCGCACCAGCAGGCCCATGTCCGTGATGCTGGTGATCTGATCGAGCTTGTTCTTCTGCTGCTCCCGCAATCCCTTGTTCCGAGCTCCGACCTTGTCCCCCGCCTTGCCCAGTGCGTCGGCCGTGATCAGGAACACCTGAACGTGAGCCGGGCCCATCTCCGCCTCTGGCAGCGGCTTGGAGTTGTCGAGCTTCCATGCTTCGCGCATCGCCGCCGCCTTCGTGGCGTAGGCGCGCCCCGCCTGAAAGGCGGCCTTTGCAATCTCCGATGACTCCTCCAGGATCACCGTCTGATAGGTGGCCGACAGCATCTGCCTGATCATGAACGAGTTGCCCAGCACTGCTTTGACCAGCACGGGCATGAGCTTCGCCACCATGGTCTGCGACATCACAGGCAGCCTCTCGAGCGTGTCGTCTGGCAGGCCGTGCGCTTTCCCCACCGTCCACTTCACGTCGTTGGCGTTCCCCCCCGCCTCCGCAGAGGCGCCGCTCGCGGCGGCGCCCAAGGCGGCCGCGGGCTGGCGCCGAGGTGGCCGACTGCCACGGTCCGCCACTCCACGTCGTCCGTGTCTCCCGCCACGACCTCGGGAGACAGCCGCTGAGCCAGAGCGGTCTTGTCGCCCTTTGGCTCTCTCGCCTCGTCCTTGCGAGCGGCTGCGGGTCGCTGCTGCCTCGAGGTCCTCGTCCTTCAGGCGAAACATCACGAAAGTAGTGCGGGCGGCGTAGTTGGCAGCACTGACGAATGTGGGCGTAGAGCAGATCACGACTGTCGAAAATCTCGGTGCTTGAGCAAGCGTACATGGCATCATGAGCGTTCAGACCATCCCTCCACAGTGACGCACGGGTTATCAACGAGAAAGGGCACGTGAGGCTATCTGGCTCGATCACGTCGTGCGCATACGGTGTAGCCCGTGGTGGGCATCTATTGTGTAGTACAGCCGTTACCGTGTGTTCCTGTGCTATGCGTCTCGTGCGGAAACTCTGCCTGCAATATATACACTCGTTCGTGATTGTCATACTGTGCGCGATGGATCTGCAGTTGTGCCCGCCAGCCTTCGAGAATCTCTGATGTGCCAGTAGTGCTCGACGTGTCGTGAAGGTACGCGTGCAGGGAGCGCCCGTAGAGTCCTTGAGGTCACATACCCAGAGAGGAGCAGGGGGGTCAGGTACGTCAGCGCCCCCAGGAGCGCCAGGAGCCATCCCAGGGGGTCCGTAGAGGCCAGGAGGTGGCGCGATGGCCACAGTACGAGCAGCAGCCCTGAGCACCCCAGGATCCAGACGGAGAAAACGTTCCCGAACGTCGTGGTCCATAAACAACGCACGGACGTTGAACCGAAACCTCTCGTCCCCCTCCGAGCCCGTCAAGAGGTCCTCCAAGAGCCCCTCCTCCTCCTCAGACCTCTTCAACAACTTCACGACATCGACGACGAACCTCTGCGCATAAGCGTTCGCCTCCAGAGACAGACAGCCGTTCGCCAGGATCGTCGGCCCAGGGTCCACGGGGAGCTGGCCGAAAACAGATCCCAGCTCCTGGGCGTGGGTACTTGGAACCAGAAGCCACCGCCTGTACATACGCATGCGTCTCACCATCAACTCTGTGCCAGCAGGAGCCACACCGACACGCCTGAGAACGACCTCATCGGAGTCGGCCTTGTATCTGAGGATGGGCTTATCATTCGAGTCACGGATGGGGCCCCCCTCGGAATCGACAACCTCGAGCTTTTTGCACGCGTCACCCCCCAGGATCTTCCGAGCGAAACCAACGAGGACACGATCGAGACGCCGTTCCTGAGTGGGGGTCAGCACGAGCACCGTCAGTCCAGATAGAAGAGCGCCCTGCACAACCGATCCAAACACAGTGCGGGTGAACCGCCATACCCTATTTTGCTTCCAGAAACGACCCATACCATAGAATCCCCTGCGGCATGCCACGATTCGCCTACGCAGTTCGCTCTGCACTCCCCCGTTGACTGAGGTCGATATCCCAAGAGCGATGTTGTCGAACTGCACGCGACCGTCGACGGGGGTCCTGCCGCTGAAGAGCTCCGACGAGTGACGATGTGCCCCAGGGCCCACGAAAGAGGGAGACACGCTGCTTTTCTCTGCATTGTGAGCATACCCGCTGCAAGCCAGCTCCTCGCGCAAGAAGGTGAGCACGAGATAAAGTATACTGAGCATTTCGCGCAGACGTGACGATATGAGTACGAGACGTATCGTCCGCATAGATTCGACATGATAAATCCACAGGCCGCTGAAGAAAGGGCGTCCAGGCCGTGCACAGTGCCTCGCTGGGCCAGATCACCCTATCAGGGTCGTCAGGCGGCACCGGTGGGACCAGCCTCTGCGAAACCCACTCCTCGTGAGTCACAGGCCGAGGTGGCGCAGGCACATCGCCCCAGGTGGCCTGTCGCAGCCGATCAAGCCATCGTTGGACAGGCCGTCGAAAGGTGCGGGCAAAGAACACGGCCGCGGGGCTGTCGCCCATGAAGGCCCCGACCTGGTTATGCAACGTCTGCTCACCATCGGACGCCTGAATCGTGAAAGTCGCCAGCTCGTGCCGCTGGTGAAAAAAGGTCTGATCCTGCGGCAGGATGGCGTCACACACTGTCTCCCGCAGCTCACTGAAGGGGGTGCAGCCGAAAGCGTTCGACATATCCTCCTTCGAGGTGATCGTGGAGATGCCCCTAGCCCGCAGGCGAGACAGCAGCGCCTCCTGGCAGATGATGGCCCCCTCGCGGTTCCTGCCTGGCAGGTAGCCATGCTCCCGATCGGGCTCGGAGTCAGCAGCTCCCCGTCGAAGAAGGGCCTTGTACCACATCACGCCCATGCGGCACAGGCCGTGGATGTACCGCCTCGCACTGAAGCCTGCCTTGCCGTTGCACTTCGAGAGACCTGTGGCACGGGAATGATGCCAGACAATCGGAGTACGGCCAACTCGTCGAACATGGTGACAAATCTTCTGGATAGCTTTCAGGGTCCCAGGGTTCTCGAGGGTAGGAGTGTCCGCACCAAGTCCGCGACGGTCGCCAGCGAGTCGGTGCCGAGGAGCAAAATCGGCACGCCGAGCAGGAACACCCTCCCCGCCACCGTCGTCGTCGCCCTCCCCCTCTTGCTCCTTCCGCGGCTTCCTGTGGGAGCCGTCGAACCTGCGGTTGGGGTCGAGCGTGAGCATCAGCACCTCACACGGCACGCTGTGGGCAGGCGCCGACCTCCTGCGCGGCGCACGCTCGAGCAGCTCCGTCACCTCCCTCAAGTCGTCCCTCCCTTCCTCCACATGTGCAAAGTTGTCCAGTCCCAGCATCGGGGGTGGGGGAAGACGGGACAGCTGGTCTCTCTTGTAGTCGTCAAAGTCGACAGGCACAGCTCGTAGCCCGCCCTGTGGGCCAGGAAGAGAGAAATACTTCTGCACCTCGTCACATCTCGGCACAAACTCCTCCGCAACGTTATACTTCCTATGACGTGGGCCTCCGCACTTGCCTGCGAGTAAGTGTGCAAGCCTCCATACCTCGGCGTGACGGCGTGACTGCCAGGCTTCTCCGATCTCGTGGACGAGCTCCTCCGTGGCCTCCCGCAGACGAGAGCGTCGTAGCACTCGAAGTCGTCGTGAGGCCCTCGCAAGGGCCATGCACACCTGCTCGTCGTCGCCGTCCGCCTCCCGAATGCGTCGCCGCTCGGCAAGAAGACGGGAGCGCTCCGCAGCGAACGCCTGGGCGCGGGGGTTCACACCTGCGTGCTTGCCGAAGTGCTGCTCCGCGACCCTGTAGACCGTGGTGATCCAGCTGGCCCACGCCTCATATGGGGAGGAGGCCTGAAGACATAGATCGTGATAATCTGGCCCAGCACCGAAGGCACGCTCGAGATCGCAGACGAACTCCTGAACTCCAGTCCCGCGCCTGAGGGCTTGGGCCAAGCGGTCGTAGTCCCATGGCGCCTGCTCCACGCGGGAATGTGACATATCGAACGTATACTCAAGCCTCAGAAGTAAGGGAACATGATCTTGAACACCCTGCTTGCGTATCAACTTCAATCTTACACTCGAGCGGGTCAAAGGTAAAACGTTCTTAACATCATCCGTCTGCCAGGCGAAGGTCGCAATAAAGTCAATACAAGACGCCGAGGAGGCGCCAAAATACGTGGGTCCCGTCGGGAAATCAGTCGACACCGCCCTCACCGCGTGGCGCTCCATGAGATCTAGCACCCGATCGCTGGCGTAGTGCTGTTCTGCATTGCAGTGTCGTCCCAGCGCGGGTGAGCATACGAGGGCCTGGCCCCCGCCACGGCGGCGCCAGCCGAAGGAGTCGTTCAGGTCGAAACCCCAGAGGAGACTGGCCCTCCGTGGCGTCCAGCACATCACCTGTTCCAACCAACTGCACATCACATCGATCGTCTGCTGGTACTTCTGATGTGCATCCGAGGTGACACTCTCCCTCGCATCTCTCCGAGCTGTCGGTCTCGGGGGAAAGTACGTGATCGGGATCACAATGTCGAAGCGGCCCGAACGCAGACGATGCAAGGCCACCCGCCCCCTCAAATACTTGGGGACGGCCGGTGTGTCCACGAGGTGCTTCATACGAAACTTGGCCTTGCGAATCAGCAACACGGTGCCACACGATCTGTTCGAGTGACGGCTCGGCACATATCCCGAGTGGATAGCATAATGATATCTCAGCGACGATCTCGTAGTGGCCTGATCTTGTGAAGCACGCTCGCCCGTACTAGTGAGGGCAATCAAATCGATCGTCGCTAGCTCTTCGCTTATGTCGTTCAGCCTCAGCTCGTCCGCCCTCATACAGTTCCAGTGAACAAACGTAAGCATCTGAACATGGAGCAAGAGAGTGGCGAGCTGGCCGTGGGGGGCCGCCCGTAGCGGAGTACGGTTGTCAGAGTGCGGGGGCCTCCTGCCCCAGGTGCGCAATCGCCTGGGCATGGTGGGCTAGGAGGAGGAGGAGGAGGAGGAGGAGGAGGAGGCCGCGCGAAGAGGAGGGCGCGCGCCCCCGGCCTTGAGGGCCGGCTCGGCCCACGACGTGCGGCGGGCCGCGAGCTGCTCCGGGGAGACGGCGACGCTCAGCTGCGACGTGGCCTCGGTGGTGGCACGCCCGAGGCGGGCGCGGCCACCGCGCTGCCACACGAGGAGCGCCACATGAATAGGGGGCAAAACCTCCACCCTCATAATAGCCGGCGACGCTCCACTGCGACGTGGCCTCGGTCGTGGCACGCCCGAGACGGGCACGGCCCCAGTGCTGCCATACGAAGAGCGCCAGATGTCACTGCACCGACCGTGCGGCAGCGGAATTGTGCGTGGATTTCTGGCAATGAAAGACTCAAAAACGGCGAGCGAAAAACGAAGTGGATGTCACGTGGATTCTTTGTAGTCTTCATTCCTGGTCAGCAGAATCCGCAAGAAATTCACGTCGAAATCCGGAACGAAATTCTCCAGGACACTCCAGGCCCATCCTATTGCTTTCCAAACGAAATCCGCTCTGCGATGTTGGCGCCATGACACTTGAATAGAGAGCAGAACCTCCACCCTCACAACAATAACCCCGACATGCGAAGCCGTTCATCCGTAGACGCACCCACGGAAGGACTTGTACAGGGCAGGGCTGCTTAGTAGACGCCCAGGGCCGTTCAGTAAACGCCAACTGTCGGGTGCGGGTGGTACTTCCTCTCTGGACGCCCGAAATGGGCACGGGAAGAATGGGCACAAGGCCCAACAACAGATGTTGTCCCAAACCTGCGGCGGCCGCTGTTGGGCAGGCGGCCTCCTGTCTCAAACGGACACAAGCCGCGGCGGCGCGGACAGCGAGTCCTGCTCACAACGAACAGGAACCGCTGTTGGGCATTGTGCCCATTCTTTTGGTACCCATTTCGGGCGTCCCTGGAATGCAGGAACGAGTGATGGGCGTGTTTTCCACCACCACCACCATAAGTTGGAGGGGGGAGGAGGAGGAGGACGAGGAGAAGGAGGACGAAGAAGAGGAGGAGGAGGACCCCCTCCCCCTCCAACTTATGGTGGTGGTGGTGGAAAACAGGCCAATCAACGAGGGTGACTTCTTGGCCACGGCGAGCCGCGGCCACGAACGGGCTCCCCGAGCTGGACCCGAGGAGCTCTGGCGGCGCGCGCCAGGGGGTGGAGGGAGGGGGGAGGGCGTCCTATAGAGGCAGGGGTGCTTCTTGGAAGGCGCCATGCTCACATCTGTAGGCAAGGCCCGCGCCTTCTACGAAGCAGGGGTGCTTCTAAGAGGCCCGCCCCCTCCCCCCACCTCCCTCTGCGCGTGGCTGAGAACTGCCCGGAAACCAGAGCTTCTCTGCCCGAAGTGAGACTTGTCTCAGCGTCTCGACTGCACGGACAAGGTACCAGAAATGCCCAATAACAAATGTTGTCCAAAACTGGCAGCGGCCCCTGCTGGCGCGTCGATGCCGACAGCGAGTCCTGTTGGCGGCGCGCACAAGGGGGATAGGAGGAGGGGTGTAGGCTTCTCAGAAGGAGGCCGCTTCTCAGAAGGCGCCCCCTACATCTACAGACAAGGCCCGCCCCTTCAAAGAAGCAGGGGTGCTTCTAAGCAGCCCTCCACCCCCACCCTGCCACCCTCTGCGCGTGGCCGAGCCCTTCTCAAACTGGGCAAGGACTCCGCTGGTCTGCATCCGCTCCCGGTCCGAAGAGTGCCGGCAGCCGCTGCCGGACTCTTGAGCACCGGACACGCCACGGCGCCCCGCACGGGAAAGAGAACGCAGACCTTGCAGCTCAAGACCTGCGCTGCCCAGACGTGCGCACGCGACAAGCGCCCACCGCGTGCGCAAGATCACCTAAGGACGGGGCCACATCCACCGTGACCGCGTCGCCGTCTTGGATCAGCGCGATGGGGCCGCCCACGTGCGCCTGCAAGTCACGAGAGCCCAGACTCGAATCGATACGTCGGGTCGGCGATCGACGTGAATCGGACCAGCGGAAATCGGCAGCCAATTCTGTAAAAGTCGAGTCGGCGGAAATCAGCAGAGTAGAAGGC